AAGAAGCTTTTTAAGACGGTACCGTTTGGGTTTGTCAAGCTCATCAAAGGAAGCTTTTCTCATAGCCATTGTACCAGACAGCAAAAACACTTTTAAATCAGGAAAATATGACTCAATTTTGGTTTTGCGAAGCCCCTTTGTAATATCAAGAAAGTTATTAATCTGCTGAACAGAATAAAGTTTAGTTGTACCCTCCAGAGGCAGGCTCTGAATCCATCACGTCGTTGTCCATTATATCTGTGTCTTCTTCACATTCCTTGTCAGAATCATCCATTTGTAGCTTTAAATCCACAAGTTCTTGAGATGAAATGTCATCTTGACTCTGATTAAACGTGTCATCAATAATTGTGTTACTCTCAGTTTTGTCAGGCTGCGTTTGTTTTCCAAAACAAAGCGAATCGGTCTCAGGCACGGACTGCAAGCACACCTGTTCCGGGCTCGTCTCTGCCTGCGGCACAGCGGGAACATGACTCGGCCCAGCCGCCTCCTCAGCAGCCTCCACCAGGCCGTCTTTAGAGGCAACCAGCGCCGGTCTCTCGGGCAAGTCACCCGGCGCTGACAACGCAACGCCTGGGGTTCTGATACCTCAGCGGCCAAAGCAACATCCGCGCCAGCCGCCCTCTCGCTGTTCTCCGCATCTGCAGCCGGAGCCGCAAGGAGGCCTGCCGGCCTGTCTTGATTCAGGCAAGTTTGTCTAACGTGTCCAAAAGCACCGCAAACAAAGCATCTCATCGAGTCTGAGCTAATAAAGACAGTGTAATCTTTGCCATCAATGCTTAGTTTCACAGACAGATTTAACGGATCACTCTGAGAATTCAAAATCATAAAAGCCTGACGCCGAAAAGACACACAAGATCAGGACTTTTACATCCCAGTGGAATCATTTTAATAGGACTCACTATTTTGCCGAACCTCTGGAGTATTTGCTCCAGTTTTTCATTTTTAACAAACGGGGGTACGTTCGATAAAACAACTTTCTTGGACGGGCTTGACAGAGGCAATACAGGTACAAAAGTGTCTTTGATTATCAACCCAGTTTCAATCAAGTCATCCACCATTTGACTTTCACTGAGAAAGAACACGATGGCTTTATTCATACGGGAGGCAGATCTGATATTAGCGCCACCGACCGCCGCACTCACGGCTATCAGACAATCCTCCACTGACACCTGGGCATCAGGCATGCATTTACAACCATGCCTGAGTGTTAACCGCGAGAAATCTCCCGCTTCCGACCCCATTATCCCCACCCACCGACCGAAGTCAGGGATAAAATAAACCTTTAACTAACCCTACACTTGACAGAAAGGAAAAAAATCCCAGGAAACAAGAAAACTCACTCCAACAGAGAGATACTCTCACCCACGCCAAACAGCTCCGTCCACACTCACTCCCAGCATGCACTAGCACAGAGAGAGAGGGAGAGAGAGAGAGAGAGAGAGAGAGAGAGAGAGAGATTTTGAGATTTCGAAAAAAACTTTATTACAAAATATCAACACATTATCCAGACAATCAAGTCAATTTACAGACAATTAAGCAAAAATGGGGGCAAAAACCAAAGTGTTTTCAAAAACCTCACACAAAGCTCCACCATTACACCAAATCAAGTCAAAAGAAAGAAGATCATCCATAGCTTTAAAATAACAAAAATCAATGAGAATTCTAGATTTTACTGAATTAAAAAAAACTGCCAATAAACTATAACTCTAAGAGAGAGAGAGGGAGGGAGGGATAGAGGGAGAGAGATGAGGGCATGTTAAAAAGGAGGAAAAACGTAAAGAAAAGCAAAAGAAAACAGAAGATCACAAGGCAGATTTTCATTTAGAAACACAGAGACTTATGAAAGAGAACAACACACACACACACACACACTCACGTTTGTTTTTATGGTTTACAGGGACTCTCCATAGACGTAATGGTTTTTATAGTTGCACAAACTGGATTTTCTATCGCCCTACACCAACCCTACACCTAAACCTACCCCTCACAGGAAACTTTCAGCATTTTTTGATTTTCAAAAAACCTCATTCTGTATGATTTGTAAGTCTTTTGAATTACAGGAACAGTGAAAGTGTCCTCATAAATCACCTTCACATTGTAATACCTACAGTATGTCATACCCATGTCATCATACAAATTTGTGTCCTCATAAACCACATAAGCATGCGCACACACACACACACTCTCTGAAATCACACAATGCATGTCAAATGTGTGTGTAGTAAATCTTTAGCTAATCACATACACACACCTTCTTACTACTTCATGTATCTTTAACCTGCATGTCAATGTTTCCCAGTAAATGGTGACTGATGATGATTTGTGTGTTTGATATTCTTGATAGCAAAATTGCTCCTGGAAGTAAGCTAAATATGACTTATCCTTCTTTTAAGCACTTCCTCAAACGTTTGGAAAATGTTTTAAAAATGATTTTGAAAGAAGTCTCTTTTGTTTCGCCAACATTTTTTGGTTTCTTTGATGAATAGAAAGTTTGTAATTATTTCAAATAAATATATTTATACTATATGTTTTATATGATAGGCCTAAATATATTTATATATAAAAAACATTATAATTTAATGTTCAATTGAAATGAATCTTACAGAATAAAAGTATTAACATCTATATAAATATATATATATATAATATAAATATAAATATATATATATATATATACATACATAGCAGTTTTCTTTTGGGATTAGTGTAAGGGTTTGGCTTAGCCATATAACTAGCTTTATAAAACAATAAAAATCAAATAAATGTGCATCAAAGTAATGTTTACTAAAGTCAAGTAAACATGTGCGTGTGTCACTGCTATAATGTTGGAACATGTTGCTATGCGGTTGCTAGGTGGTTGTTTACATAAAAGACTTCACGATCATCACTCAGGTCTGTAGTAAGACCAGTAAAGGCACCAAAATACAATGGCTCACTTTACAAGGTTCCAAATATTATAAATAATAGAACAAGTGATGCTTTAGTGAACATTCCAATCCTCTCAAACAGTCACTTTATAAAGACAAATCCTTCACAAATACACACACACACTGTATAAAAATCAGAAGCTCACTTACAAACACATGATGGAAATCAGACTGTTTTCTCTTTCTGTCTGTTCAGAGCCACACGCAGACGCTCGAGCCGTGAAACAAAACTCCACAACACTCCTCCAACTCCAAACACACGGCCAAACTCCTCAAGAGTCTCATGTGACCTCCTGCCTTTCTTTCTCCAGCGAGAGAGCAGCACTGAGCACCTCCGTGAACATGGACACACACACACACACACACACACACACACACACACAGACGGTCGAGAGGGGCTGGGGTTACGCTGGAGGGGGCGTGTAGGTTTGAGTCAGTGTGTGTGAGACAAAGCCAGACAAAAAGAAACAGGAAGTGACATTAGAGATTCATTCAGTGGAGATTGTGGCTTTGGATCTTTGATCTCTCTCTCTCCTCTCTCTCTCTCGCTCACGCTGACTTTACTTTGACTTTAATCCAAAAAGGAAAAACACAGCCAATTTACGATTAAAGGGACAGTTCACCTAAAAATGAAAAGTCTGTCATCATTAACTCACCCTCATGTCGGTCCAAACCTGTAGGACTTTCTTTTCATGCAGAGAACACAAAAGAAAGTTTGAAAAACTCTTTTCCATGCAGTTACAATATATGGTGACGGAAGCATTTACAGTGTAAAAAGCACTATAAAACGAGAACAAAAGTGGTCCATTCAATTTGTGCACTATATTTCATGTCATCTGCAGTCATGATAGTTTTGAGCAAGAAACAGACCAATATTTAGTTTCTGAACACCAGTTCTAGCTCTTATTAAAGACGTAATGAGAGAACAGTGTTGTTATTGTTAACTAAAAATAAATCCATAAAAAAAGCATAAAAATGTTTTCTTTAATTGAAATATAGCTAAAATGAAATAAAATATAAATATTGGATGAAAAATGAATAGTATGTAAACAAAAACTGGAAATGTTGGCTTGTCAACTAAATTAAATACAATTAATAATAAGATAATAAAATTATTATAAAAATGAAATAAAAATGTTAAAAGCTTAATATGAATAAATAAATAAATAAAAATGGTAAGAGCACAACATAAAATGACTGAGACTTAAACTAACATTAAAATGAAAACTGAAAATATAAAAATAAAAGCTCATTCAAAATATTAAATACTATAATAGCACAGAAATAATACTAAAATAACACATATAAAAACGTGTAGGCTACATGAAAATTAGAAATGTTGGCTTGGCAACTATCTGAAATAAAATAAGTTCAGGTTTAAGTACTAAAATCATCAAAAATTAAATAAAAATAAATTAAAGCTATATAGAAATATGAAAAAAAAACTAATAAAATGACAAAAGCACATTACAAACTTGCTAAAACTTAAATTAAAATAAATTTGAATAATATAATAGTAAACAATACTAAAATAACACTGTGAGAGAAGCATTTGTGAACAAATCATTATTTTGAGTGATGAATCAGTTGATTCGGTTCACAAGTGAGACGAATGGACTTAACGATGCTTTGATGAATCAGTTGATTCGGCTCACAAGTGAGACGAATGGACTTAACGATGCTTTGATGAATCAGACTGAATCGTTTGATGAGTTCATCTGACTGAATGATCAGCAGCTCACGGAAGGGGAAGATTGTGTGAATAACAACTTAAACTTCAGTTTGTTCATCATAAGAAGACATTGCATATCTTCAGAAGACCTGAAATACTCATATGGACAACTTTTGCGACCATATTTGCAAAAGCCACCCATGCATTCTCCAAACTTTCTTCATCTCATCTTCTTCATGATGGGCCAGTTTTAAAGCAGTGAAGTGTGTGTAAAAAGCTTCTAAATGACATCATGAACAGTTCAGACCCAAGAAAAACAATCAGGAGGCCAAAAACGGCCACACGAGAGTTGATCAGCGTGCAAACATTCACACAATCCTCCTGTGTGGCGTTTGACACGCTCAGTGCTGGACTGAAGCCTGCTGGCCTCCTATTGGCTGATCCGCAGCTATGCAGATGACCTCTGACCTCAACCGCACCCCGACTGACCCATTGAACAAGTCGCACTTCACATGTGCTGCCCTCACACTGCCGATATCCCAGCATGCCGTGCTCTCTCTCAAACACTCCAGCACTCTTTCAAACAGTGAATAAATCACTTCAGCTCTTCCAAGTGTCTTGTAACTTCTAAACTATCAAACACAGAAAGTGAGGACTGATCTGAGCATGTGCAAACAGAGCTGGCACCGTGTGTTTGGATCGTAACGCCAATCAAATTAACTGCCTTTTAAGGGCAATGCTATGCTGCAACAGACCAGAACACCTCCGCTCGCTCTCTCGGGTCACATGATCCGACCCGTTTCTGTCCATTTCTCCTGAGCTGAATGCTGTCAGTGGTTTTGAAGACATTAGTCATGCTCATTTAACTCAAATTCTCTGTCAGTCACACTGATGGAGCCCCGAATATGAACCTCATAACCTCAAATCCATCCACATTTCATCACAATCATCACATTTCTTGGTTTTCATTTAGCTTTCAGTTAGCTTAATGCAGTACACAAGGTTTTTTTTTAAGCAAGCTAGTAAATAAATGCTAAATATATAAGTGAATAAATGCATAAATAATATTTATAAATAATATTTTTAATTATAAATAATGTCTATAAATGATCAAATACATTTTTAAAAGCAAAGAAATAAATGCATGCATTAATTAATTAATTAAACAATGAGCTGAATGCTGTCAGTGGTTTTGAAGACATTAGTCATGCTCATTTAACTCAAATTCTCTGTCAGTCACACTGATGGAGCCCCGAATATGAACCTCATAACCTCAAATCCATCCACATTTCATCACAATCATCACATTTCTTGGTTTTCATTTAGCTTTCAGTTAGCTTAATGCAGTACACAAGGTTTTTTTTTAAGCAAGCTAGTAAATAAATGCTAAATATATAAGTGAATAAATGCATAAATAATATTTATAAATAATATTTTTAATTATAAATAATGTCTATAAATGATCAAATACATTTTTAAAAGCAAAGAAATAAATGCATGCATTAATTAATTAATTAAACAATCGTAATATATAAATGAATAAATATATAAATATTTTATAAATACTATTCATTTACAAGAAATTAGACAGTAAACAGGTCAAAAACTCATTCTTAATACTAAAATAACAGAAATACACACAAAAAAAAATTATTCATATATTAATTATTATGAATAAATATTTTATAAATAAATAAATATTTTATCTTTTTTTTTTTTTAGCTTTGACTCCTCGAGGGAGGCTTGGTGTTTCATCAGATTTCTGGGACAGGAAATAGAGTACAAGGAAAGTTTCGCTCGGGCCTGACTGAC